CCAGCCCCAGTCAGCGAGGAAGCCCCATCGACTTAGTCTGGGGTTCATGCCAGCGGTTCTCTTCCAGGAGACTCTGGCAAGTGGGCCTGAAAGCGCAGGAGTCTCTAGGCCCCAGGTAAGTGCCTGTCCCTGCGTGGGCCTTTCACCCTCTCCCAGAGGCTGTGATGGAGCCTCTGTCCCAAGCCTTCTTGGAGGAGCATTTTGCTGCAGGGCTGGGCTCCCCGGCCCAGGGCATCGATGGACTCCCACAGCCCGGCTCTGACAACTGCAGTTATTGGTGGGTTTGCAGAGCTGCTCTGGACAGACACGTGCTTTCTGGTCTCCAGGCCAGAACCTGGCCTGGTGTCTGCACTGTGCTGTAACCCGGCCTCCTCACAGCTTGAGTCCTTCTCCCAGGCCAGCGCCTAGGGACTCTGCCACTGGAATTAACGAGCAGCCGAAGGCCCTGCCCAGCACGTTGGCATTGCAGAGAGCTGGGGGTCCACATGTGATCCAGACAGGCTGCAAACGGCTCTCCAAAAAGGACTGGCTCGTTTCTGTTCACCTCAGCCTAGTCCCCTTCTCTGTGTACCTGGGACATTGGCCTTACCTCGGAGCACAGCCACTGCCCGGAGCTGCTGGGAACTCAGCCCTGGCTCCAGCTGACGTTCTCTCCGCCCCTGCATGCTCCGGCTGCATCATCCCGCCTCTCCGCCTGGCCCGGGGGGGTCTCCTACTGCTGGCAGTGCTGCGTGTGACCCCGGTCTGTCCCCCACCTCATCCCACCTGGTTGCTCTTGCTCCTTGCCTGTGGCTTTCCCCGGCTTCCTCACTGCCTTGCTGGGGCTTCTGCGGGGCTTCGCTGTGTCCATTGGCAACCCCTGGTGGAGGAGACATGAGGACACTGGGGTGCGGGGACTTGGCCTAGCAGCTCGGGGTCCAGGACATAACCAGAATGGAACAGAGCCTCAGGCTCCCCCAACCTCCTGCTCTGACCCAGGCTGCAGGGACTCGGGGGTCTCTCTACAGCCAGGCCCCTCCCTGTTTGTGATTTTCTCTTTCCCTCTATGCCTCTGTGGGGCCGGGCTCCCGACCCATCGGGGCAGGAGAGAGGGGCTCTGCGCTTGTTCTGGGACGATCTGGGGTCTGCCCCCAAAATGCTGGGCGCTTGCTGCGGGGAACGACACAGAACGGGTGGGCAGGGAGCCGGTCTGTGCTCGTGGATTGCAGCCAGGGCGTTGGCTGAGCTCGGGCAGGTGGCAGGACTGATTAGCAGGCCAGGCCAGCGCCAAGGAGCACTGCCGGAGCGCTGTGTTCTCTGGAGGCCTCCACAGGGCCTGTTCGTGCTGCCCCAGGCTCTCGTCAACCCTAGCAGGGAACGGCAAAGCAGCAAACAGAAGAGTGCTGCTGGTCTGGGCTGGCTCTGGACTGGCTCCAGGCTGGCCTGCTTGGCTCTGGGCTGGCTCTGGACTGGCCTGTGTGGCTCTGGGCTGGCTCCGGGCTGGCCTGCTCGGTTCTGGGCTGGCTCCGGGCTGGCCTGCTTGGCTCTGGACTGGCCTGTTTGGCTCTGGGCTGGCTCTGGACTGGCCTGCTCGGTTCTGGGCTGGCTCCGGGCTGGCCTGCTTGGCTCTGGACTGGCCTGTTTGGCTCTGGGCTGGCTCTGGACTGGCCTGCTCGGTTCTGGGCTGGCTCTGGGCTGGCCTGCTCGGTTCTGGGCTGGCTCTGGGCTGGCCTGTGTGGCTCTGGGCTGGCTCTGGACTGGCCTGCTTGGTTCTGGGCTGGCTCTGGACTGGCCTGCGTGGCTCTGGGCTGGCTCTGGGCTGGCCTGCGTGGCTCTGGGCTGGCTCTGGGCTGGCCTGCGTGGCTCTGGGCTGGCTCCGGCCTGGCCTGCTCGGTTCTGGGCTTGCTCCGGGCTGGCCTGCGTGGCTCTGGGCTGGCTCCGGGCTGGCCTGCGTGACTCCGGGCTGGCTCTCCTGACTCACCTCTGCTTTTGTTTCAGAGCGTGACGAGTTTTTTCCTGACACAGCCTGATGAGTTTGAGCAGCCCCAGGCCTCTCCCTCCGGAGGCGAGATCCCATCCTTCGTCCTCCAGTTCGAGGACACAGAATGGTTCAGGCAGATCTACCCCGTCCTCAGCTCAATGGTGAGAAGCTGCCTCCGTCTGCGTCACTGGCCGTACACAGCCGTGTGGCCGAGTGAGCCGAGTACAGGACTGGGAGCTAGGAGTGCCTGAGGGTTAACCCCATCTGTGCCACAGGCTTGCTGTGTGACCGAGTGCAAGCCAGTGCCCCACCGGAGTGGGTAATGAGACGGGGGCTCTGAGGTGTAGCCAGTTAACAGTGGCCCGGCGCCAGGAGTTCTTGCCTTCTGCCAGGGCTGCAGAAGTCAGAAGGGCCCATGCCAGCGCGGCACGGGGAGGGTTCTCTGACACACGCTTGTGCGTGCACACACAGCACTGGCTGCCGCTACCGCTTCTCCCACCTCTCGCTAGAGGCTGAAAGGCCATTTCGCTTCTCCCCGGGAGGCCGCAGAGGTTAGCTCAGTAAACTTTCATTTCCGTAGATTGATGAATTTCGCTGCCTCGTTTCCTACCAGAACCCTGCAAAGCTGCACCCGCGCATGCCTTGCCATGGCAGAAAGT